GAAAGAAAGAAAGAAAGAAAGAAAGAAAGAAAGAAAGAAAGAAAGAAAGAAAGAAAGAAAGAAATTAAAAAAAAAAAAAAGGAAGTGGGTGTGTTGTTGATATAGCTCAGTAAAAAAGTCCTGAGTTCAATCCCCAGTACTGGATATGTGTGTTGGGGGGAATATCAGACACCCTAACCCCCAATCCTTGTCAGATATTACAGTGTGCAGCAGAAAGAAAGAAAGAGAGAGGGAAGGAGGAGGGGGAGGGAAAGGAAGGAAGGAGGGAGGAAGAAAAAAAAGAACAGATGAAATTAAGGCATGGGGGGATCTGGGATGACCACTTTGTTCATGAGGAACAAAAGTCCCTGAGGCAGCCAGAACGTGGGCATTTAGTAATTGAGAAGGGAATTATCAGATGACTCAGAGGGTGGGGGCAATCTTAGCTAATGAGCTCTTGTCCTGGAGCATCCTTATTCTTTGTAGTCTCGGTCTTGGTCATAGGTGGGAGGGGATGGCCCACCACTAGGGAAATATTAGGAAGCCTTAAAAGGGTGATACCAACCTCTTTATCCCTTAGGCAGATCTAAATAACTGCCATTGTGAATTTGTGTTCGCAACCAAAGGTTATGATAATTTTTATGTGGAAACAAAATCAGTACATGAAAATTTGAGGAAGCAAGATTTGGTCTAAAGGAAGGCATTATGCCTTGAAGCTACTCTGTGCTACAGGATTTTAACTGAGTTTTAATGATCATCTTGCATTTCATGGAAGGGGTTAGATTCACTTTCAAATATAAAATTGTTACTAACAAACTCAAGATACAGATGAGAAGGTGCAGAAAAATTGCTAAATTGACTAAATATTGAGAGGATTCATGGTAAGGGAATGAATAAAATTCACTAGGATTAATCCAGGGGAAAATTTTGAGGTGTGTCTTTTATTCCATCTGGGCTACAAACGTCTTGGTGCCACTCACATGCAGGATGGGCCTCCCCTCCTCAGCCCGTTCTGCGGACGCCCCGGAATATGCTATGCCAGTCAGCTGGGCGCTTCTTGCTCAGATTGACACAGCAGTTAACATCCCACTTGACCTCTTTGATTGTTTTTTCCATAGGTATGACTGTCCGAGAAGCTGTCAATTTAGATGCTCTCAGTAAATACATGAAATATCTTGAAGATAAGTATGTAGAAATTAAACAAGCTATGTCAATAAAATATATACCAGCTCAAAAGAAGGCTGCTTTAGATGAGAAAATGATTGGATTGTTAAAACGGCGAGATGTAGCAGAAAATCTAAACAAAGAATTACAGTTTCGGTATCAGAGTTGATTATATACTTTGAAAGTTTGAGGATTTTATTTGTGTCTATTTTCATATTGCAGCATTTGATTTTAGGTGCAATATGCTGTTGGTGCCTTTTGTCTTTATAGTTATCAAAGACTGCAGATTGTTTCACATGCACTTTCTTCATGGACAAAATCTGATATGAGCAGCACATTTCAAGACTTCATGGACCAAATTCAGATGACCAAAGGTTTAAATGATAGTTTGTCTGTCTGCCTGCTTGCCTGTCTGCCTGTCTAATTTTTTCCTGAGTGTAGAGATTGAACCCAGGGTCTTGCCCATGCTAGGCAAGCACTCTGTCAATGAATAACGTCCTCCAACTCCCTCCCCTTTTTAAAAATTTTGTTTTGGTAAGTTACCCAGCCTACCCCTGAACTTGTGATCCTCCTGCCTCAGCCTCTGAAGTACCTAAGAGGGCTGGCCAGATAGCTCAGTGGATTAAAGCACCTCCTTAGGCAGAGTGCAGTGGCCGGGTTCCATTCCCTGAGTGCCATGCCAGCCCCAACCTGGGGTGCACTGAGACAGTGAATGAGACTGGGCGTGGTGGCACATGCCTGTAATCCCAGCGCTTAGGAGGCTGAAAACAGGAGGATCATTACGAGTCTGATCTACAAGTAGTGAGACCGTGTAGACCCTGTACTAAATACATTAAAATAAATAATAAAGTACCTAGGATTTTAGGTATGAAATATCATGCCTGGCTTGTCTATATATTTTTATTTATTCATTTTTAGTGTATTTGGTACAGGGTCTCACTATGCAGCTTGGACTCAGATCCTCCTGCTTTCAACCTCCCTAGCACTGGGATCACAGGTGTGTACCACCATGCCCGGACTTGGCTCAGGGTGCCTAGGGGCATGACCTGCATGGCCTGTGGTGCTGGGAATTGAACCCTAGTCTCTGTGCCTGCTTAAGCAGGTGCTTAGTCTGCTGAGCTATCTTATTGGCCCTTCTATACATTTTTATTTTTTTTTCCTTCTATATATTTTAAAATTAGCATAATATAAAACATTTTTCCCCAGAAAGCTAAAGAATAAGGTTTTCTTAGGCCAAGTTTAAAGAAAACTGTTAGTTCTCTGTTGCTGTTTGGGTTTCTTACTTCCATGGCTGGTGAGGTGTTGGTAAAGAACAGATTTGGTGAGCTAGAGAGAAATGCCTGAAAACACAGAGGAAAACAACAGGGAGGCCACTTAGTTTAGAAAGATGTTGGTATGGTTTGAAATCAAAGCTATAATTGTTAGTATTAAAATATATGTTTACTTACATGTTTTTTCCCCTTATTTTCCCTCATTTCAATTGTTTATTATGTTTAGTTTCTTTGCATTTTACTGTATCTGTTGTTCTTTTCAAATTTTATTTATTCTGTAAGGTTCTTACACTAGAGAGACAATATGATATTTACACATGTGGGTCTGATTTATTTCACTTATATGTAGAGCCTTTATTTGCATCCATTTACCTATAATTAAACTTGTGGGGGGGGCTGGCTCAGCCCACCCTAGGGGTGGGGCTGGCTGGCATGTGCTGCTGGGGGATCAAACTGTGGTCCCTGTGCTTTGCCTAAGCTTGCCTAAACAGGCACTTTAGACCACTGAGCTATCTCACCAGCCCCTCCATTTACCTATAAAAGTCTCAAGTCTTATCTTTATAGCTGAATAATACTCCATTGTATAAAATACATCTTTTTTTAATCCACTCCTCAGGTGATGAGCATTTGGGTTGTTTCAAAGATTTAGCTGTGACAAATTGTGCTGTTATAAACATGTGCACACATACATCACTGTGGTATGCTGTTTTCATTTCTTTTGGAAAAATGCCCAGGAGAGGAATAGCTGGGTTGAATGGGGCCTCCAATCATAATTTTTTGAGGAATCTCCACATTGATTTCCATAGTGGTTGTACCAGGCTACATTCCACCAACAGTGGAGAAGGCTTTCTTTTCCCCCACAGCCTCTCCAGCATTTGTTATGAGTTGATTTCTCTTTTCTTTTCTCTTTTTTCTTTTCTTTCTTTCTTTCTTTTCTTTTTTCTTTTTTTTTTTCTTTTCTTTTTTTTTTTTTTTTTTTTTTCAGAATTGTGGATTGAATTCAGGCCCTTACGCTTGCCAGGCAAGTACTTACTCTACTGAGCTATCTCCCTGGCCCCTAGTTGATTTCTTTATGATAGCTGTTCACAGGATAGCAGAAATGATTGTTCTAATTTCTATTAGTGTTTTGAAGGTAGAAGTTAATATTTAAAATTTTTATTTTAATCAACTCTATATGCTAATATTTATAATATAAGCAACCTCATTAAGGATAATAAGGTTCAAATCACAGTTGAATATATTTCATCTTGTCTTTTAAATGTTTATAATCTCTATTGTCTCTTCTATTATTTTTATACTCTCTTTAAAATAAATTAAAAAAGTAAAAAGTAAAGAGGGCAAGGAAGAAATTAAGGTTTAATGAAAGGAAGAGTTGCTGTTTAATTGCTTGATCAATCTGGAATGCCTATAGGGCCAGGGAGATGGCCCAGTAGAATAAGTGCTTGCCTGGAAAGTGCAAGGGCCTGAGTTCAATTCCCAGTTCCACCAAAAAAATAAAAAATAAAAAAGAATATGGAATGCCTAAATCTGGTAATCTGATCAACAAATTTGATGATTACAATACATAATATAACAACAATGTTAATTTTTTGTTCTTGTTTTGAAATTCTATACCCTTTTTATTCTGTGTTGCTTTGTGTTTGTCTTTTTTTTTTTTTTTTTTTGGCAGAACTGGGGATTGAACTCAGGCCCTTGTGCTTGCCAGGGAAGTGCTTATTCTACTGAGCCATCTCTCTGACCCATTGTCTTTGTTCTTGTTATTTGTTTTTTTCTCTATAAAAAAGTATGTTTAAGTTTTATTTTCTATAGATAAGCGACCTAAAATATAGGTATCCTTTCAATATTTATAGGTGACCAAGGTATTGTTGAAGAACTGCTTGAAGATGACCCATGCAAGGCAAAAGATGCTGAAATTATGCTTTACTACGTTGAAAGGCAAATATTTATTTTATTTATTACTTATTTATTTATTTAGTATTTTTTAGGGAAAGGTGGTCTACAGGGTCTACAGGGTCTCACTGCATAGACCAGACTTGTAGTAATCCTCTTGTTTATAGCCTCTCAAGTTCTGGGATTACAGGTGTGCGCCACCATTCCCGGGGGCATGGCTGGCAGGGCATTCCCAGGGAATGAACCCCCCAGCCTCTGTGCCTGCTTGCAGGTACTTTAATCTGCTGAGCTATTTGGCCGCCCCAAAGTTGAGAAGGATTTTTTTCTTTTTTTTTTTTTTGCTGGCTCATGCTGCCTTAATTGCAGGTCTGGTAAGGCAGGTGGAGCTGGAGATCGAACTGGGGTCCCCTGCGCCTGACTGGGTTTTCCAGAGCAGGCACTTAAGTGAGCTAATCCATAATCCCCCAAAAGGCAAATATTTAAAAACTTCAATTTTCCATGTTTAAGTGACCACATTTATGTTGAGTTGGTACCTTTTTGGTTTTTAGATCTGAGACAGGGGTCTTGCCATGTTACTGAAGCTGTGGTCCAATTTGAGATCCTCTAATCTCAGCTTCCAGCCTCCCAAGCAGTGGAGACTGTGTGTGCCATTGCTTATTTAGTCTCTTGTCAGCTTTTTATTTTTTTAAAACAAAGCATGTTATTATCTATTATTATTTGCTTTCACGCTTTGCTGTTGATTTCATATCAATTACACTGGTGTTATTTATTTATTTTAATGTATTTAGTGCAGGGTCTATAGGGTCTTACTACACAGATCGGACTTGTAGTGATCCTCTTGTTTTCAGCCTTGCAAGTGCTGGGATTACAGGTGTGTGTCACTATGCTGAGTCTCAAATCACAGTCTCAGCATGCCCTGGGGGTGGGGCTGGTATAGCACACTGGGGATAGAACCCTGGTCACTGCACCGTGCCTAAGCAAGCACTTCAGTCCACTGAGCTATCTGCCCGGCCCTGGTTTTTTTTTTGTTTGTTTGTTTGTTTTAGCCAGGATCTTGCTGTGTAGTTCAGACTGGCCTCGAATTCACCATATAGCCCATGCTGGCTTCAAATTTGCAGTAACCCTTTCTTCTGTTAGCTCCAGGTTCGGATTATTCTTTCTAAGATTTAGAAATTCTCTCTTAGACTTGCTTTTATTGTCTCATAGCTTTTAATACTGTTATACTTCCATTATCATTTGATTCTGGGAATGTTTTTATATCTTGCCTGTGATCCACTAATTATTCAATAATGTATTGTTTAATCTCCATTGGTTTGCATAGTCTTTTTTTTTTTTGCTATTGATTTCTAGCTTCATTCCTCCATGATAGTACACAGAGAATTATTTTAATTCTCTTTTTAAAAATATATTTGGAAAAAAAGGAGATACAGATGAATGTCCATTTTGCATCTGTGTATTCAAAATGGTTAGGATAGATGTATAGTTACATTCTCTTAATGAAGAGAGGGATTTGTTCTAATAGTGTTTGTAAATAGGATATCATGTCCGCATCTTGGACAGTAGTTAACCACTAGGAAGAGAGTATGCAATGTGTTAATTATTGAAACTGTCCTACCAATTTGGTTTGAAACTATCTCATTGCTATTTGTTTCTCAATAAAATTATGTGAAAAAATAAATAAAAATATATTTGGTCCCTTGAGTTTAGTGGTCAAGTATTTCTTTTTTCATGAAAAGTCTTTATTTTTCTGTAAATTTTGAAGGGTGATTTTCCAGGGTGTGAAAGTCTGAGTTGATAACTCTTTCCTTCCTTTCTTAATTTCTTTCTTTCTTTCTTTCTTTCTTTCTTTCTTTCTTTCTTTCTTTTCCTTCCTTCCTTCCTTCCTTCCTTCCTTCCTTCCTTCCTTCCTTCTTTATTTAGTACAGGGACTACAGGGTCTACAGGGCCTCTCTACTTGTAGATCAGACTCATAGTGACCTGCCTGTGTTCAGCCTCCCAAGAGCTGGGATTACAGGCACTGTCACCACGCCCAGTCTCAGTGTGCCCCATGTGTCGGGCCAGCATACACACGGGATTGAACCAGCTGAGCTATTTGGCTGGCCCTGATAGCTGTTTTCTTTTAGGGCATGAAAAACTTTTCTCTAAACTCTCTTGGCCTTTAAAATTTGAGAAATCTATAGTCAACTCTGTGGGCTTGCTTTTATATCTTATTTTGCTCTTTTTTTTCCAGCAGCTGTTAGTATTCTTTTTGTTGAATTTCTGTAATTTTGATTATGATCTAATGTGGAGAGGTCCTTTTCTGATCATGGCTATTTGAAGTTCTGTATGCCTCTTCTACTTCAATATGAATTTTCCCCCTAGATTTGGTTTTTCTGTTACGCTTTTGGATTGTTTTTTCTTTTTGGGGGGTGCTGGCTCAGGATGCCTTCAGGGCAGGTCTGGTAAGGCATGGGAGTATGGGGATCGAACCACAGCAACCTGAGCCTGACTGCTTTAAGTAGTCACTTAAACAACTGAGCTAATGGGCAGGCCCCCTCTGTTATGTTTTTGGTGAATAAACTTTTTATACATTTAGAGTCCTCTAATTTTTTTCCTTTATTCCTGTAATTCTGAGGTGGTTTTTTTTTTTTTTTTTTTTTTTTTTGGCTTTTTGAGTTATCTAGCTGCTGTTAGACCCAGTTAGCACAGTGTCTTAATCATTTTCAGGGCACCATTGAGTTTATGATGTACTTGATTCACTTTGTCTTCTATTTCTGACCCTCTGTCCTAACATTGGTCAAGTATGCTACCCATATTCTTCACTGACATTTTTATGTCATTTGTCTCTGCTTGCTTTCTTTTCTTGTTTTCTCATTCTTTTCCAAGTTGGTAACTTATGTCTTATCCATCTTACCTCAATTAGTTTGTTTCTTCTTTAAGCTTATTGAGCATTATATTAATAAAAATTATCTTTATCTTTTTTTTTTTTATTGTATTTAGTACAGGATCTCCAGGGTCTCACTACACAGATTGGACTTGTAGTGATCCTCCTATTTTCAGCCTCCCAAGCACTTGGAGCTCCACCGCGCCCAGTCTCAGTTGCTGTCTCAGTGCAACATGCCCTGGGAGCAGAGGAATCAGGAACCCCAGTCATTAAGCAGGCACTTTAGTCCACTGAGCTACATATCTGTTTAATTAATTATTACTTTTTTGTTGTTGTTGTTTTTTGTTTGTTTTGAGGCATGTTTTCCCTGTGCAGTTTAGGCTGGACTTGAATTAGTTTATGTATCCCAGGCTGGCCTTGAACTCACAGCCATTATCCTGCCTCAGCCTCCCAAGTGCTGGGATTACAGATGTGAGCCACCATGCCTGGCTCATCAAGCCTTTTTTTTTTTTTTTTCTCTCTCTCTCTTCTTGAGGCAGGATCTTGCTATGCAGTTCAGGCAGGCTGGCCTCAAATTCCCAGCACTTCCCGAGTGCTGGGATTACAGATGTGCACCACCACACCCCGCTGTCATCAGACATTTTAGCCATTTGATTTTTGAGTTTTTTGCCTTATAGCTTCCTCTGCTTCAATGTCTGGAAGTTAGGGAAGAAAAGCAGAGGCTTAAATTATTGTAACTATTACTCTCCTTCTTAGTCTGTTAATTGAGAATCTGATGCTGGCAGAGCAACAGGTGTGCTAAGGCTGCTCAGCACACTTCTTGATCTCTACGTTGGCTGCCTTTACATGCAACTAATATTTCTTCTAGTCTGAGTTTCCAAGAAGATTGCCCCCGCATTCCCTTTTTTTCTTAAGGTAATATAAGGGCTAGGGATGTAGCTCAGCAGCACAGCACCTGACCGGCAAGCATGAGGACCTGAGTTCAATTCCTGATACCAAAAAATAAATAAATTTTTTTGAATTGCCTTTAGAAAAAAGAAAGGGAAATAGAGAAATAATATAATAGAAAAAATTCTGAGATCATTGTAAATTGATTCGTTTTTTTTTTTACTTTCAAGTTTTTATTTTCTGTTCTTTGTGACTTTCTTTGGATGCCAGTCTAAGAATAAAGTATAAGAAGAGCAGGTTCAAAGTCAGCGGGAAGGTGGGAGTATATACTAAGCCAATCCCTCCAAATATTAAAGATTTGAATGAACATCTCAGAGTGAATGAACCTAGTTATAGTTTATTAGAATTGCCCTTTATTTTTTATATTATGTCACTACTTAGGTTTGTATTACATACTTTTAATCAGTTTTCTTTTTTGTGTGTACCTGTGAAATGCAATGGTTATAGGTTCAATGAATTGATCTCACTTGGTGAATATGAAAAGGCAGCTTGTTTTGCAGCCAACAGTCCTAGAAGAATTCTCCGAAACATGAATGTAATGAACAAATTTAAGGGTAAGGCTTTCTCTTTGAATTTTATTATAAATTATATATTTTTTTCCTTGTCAGGATGGAAAGAATATTAAACTGATAGACTCACAATCTGGGATCTATTCCTAACTCTGCCATTTACTGATGCCTGTAACATGGAAGGATTTAATTAGAATTTCTAAGTTAAGTTAGGAACCATTTCAAGTGTATAGAAAAGCATGGAGAAACATGTTTATACTCATGAGTTCACTATCAAGATTTAAGAAATGTTGTGTCAGGTATGTGGTGATACACACTTAAAATCCTTTCATTCCTGAAGCTGAGTAAGGGAAATGTGAGTTCAAATCTAGCCTGAGAGGCATAATGAGACCCTATCTCCAGAGAGAGAGAGAGAGAGAGAGAGAGAGAGAGAGAGAGAGAGAGAAAGCGAGAGAGAGATTGAGATTAATTTTTTGTAAATTTCCATATCCTTTTGAAAATCAACCTGTGGTAAATCGACAAATATACAACATACATAAAATACAGAGTTTATAGATTTTTACATGTCTATACTCCTTCACATCAGCACCCGACAGTTCCCTCATACCCTTCAGTAATTCTTCCGGTACTTCCCACCCCTCACCCATTTCCTCACAGCCCCTCCTCCAGTCCACTAGTCTCCTTCCAGTCACCATATATTAATTTGCATTTTCTATAATTGCAGCCATAGAGTAGATACTCTTTTTTGAAGGACATCTTGGTTTTTTTTTTTTTTTTGGTTTTTTTTTTAAGTGTATTTAGTACAGGGCCTACAGGTCTCATTACACAGCTCAGACTTGTAGTGATCCTCCTGTTTTCAGCCTCCCAGCAATGGGATTACAGGCATGTGCCACCATGCATGGACTCAGGCACCGGCTCAGTGCGCCCCAGGGGCAGTGCCAGTGTGGCATGTGGGACTAGGGATCAAGCCCTGGTCCCTGCGATTGCCAAAGCAGGCTCTTAGTCTGCTGTGCTATCTTTCCAGCCCTACTTTTGTTGACATAAAATTTGTGAAAAGTTTTTCTTATGGATCTTGATTTTAGTGTCATATCGAAAGAAATCTATGCCAAACCCACAAATTCTTTCTTTTCTAAGAAGTTATAGTATTAGTTTTACATTTAGACCTATAATCCACTCTGAGTTAGTTTTTGTATATGGTATAATATGTAGATCAAAGTTAAGGTGTTTTGTTCTGACCTATAACTGTCCTATTGTCCCAGGACTATTTTTTATTCATTTATTTAATTTATCATCATCATTAGTATTATTGCATTTAGGGGTGGAACTCAGGCCTTGTACTGAGCAGACAAGTGTTGTACACTTTTGTTGACATAAAAGAGTTATGTCCCCAGTACTTACTTTGTGGGGTTTCTTTGGTATAGAAGATCAAACTCGGGACCTTGTGCTTTCCAGGCAAGCGTTTATGCTGCTGAGCTATATCCCTGGCCCTTGTTTGTGTTTTGAGATGGAGAGTTTCCCTATGTTGCCAAGGCCTGACTTGAACTCACAATCCTCCTGCCTTTACTTCCTAAGTAGTTGAGGCCACAAGTGTTTGTCATTCCACCTGGCTCAGGACAATTTATTCAAGACTTTTTCATAGAAGTGTCTTTATACTTTTGTTGAAGATTACCTCTTCACATGTGTGTGGGTCTATTCCACTTCACTGATCTATTTTTTTTGATAGGAATGTCATATTATCTTCACTATTATAGCTATATATTAGCCTTGAAGTCATACAGTTTTAGTCTTCAAACTGTTTTTATTGATTTTGTTTGACTATTCTTGGAACTTTTAGTTCTGTATAAAAAAAATTTTGTACCAATCTTTGAAACCAGCTTTTCAACTTCTACAAAAAGAAAATCTGTTGGGATTGGGATTGCATTGAATCTGTAAATCATTTTGATTAGAATAGACCCTGAACAAAATTGGGTCTTCTGACCCAGTGAACTTATGAATATGGCCTCACGCCATTTATGTATTTCAGAATCTTCCTCTGCAGTACTTTGTAGTTTTCATTGTTGTAGATACTCTATCTTTTGTCAGAATTACCCCTAAGTGGTTGATTTTTTTTTAATGCTATTGAAACTTTATTTCATTTTCCTAAGTTGTTTGTTGCTACTATATAGAAATAGAATGGAAGAACATGTAGTATATTAAGTCAATACATTCCTACCAGTAATACAAAAAGACCACTAAATTTGTCCTCCATAGCAGCAGGTTTGTACCCTGTGGCCTGTGTCTCATTGCCTCCTCCTTCCACCTGCTAACCACTATCCTGCTCTCCATGTCTACATACTCACTGTGTTTTTAGATTTCACATATGAGATCCCCTATTTTTTTTTTTTTTTTTTTTTTTGGTGTCTGGATTATCTCATTTAGCATAATTTTCTCCAGGTTCATCAATTTTATTGCTGAATTGATCACACACCTTTAGTCCTAGCATCACACACTCTAGATTCAGCTACCTCTGAAAAGCTCCCTCACCCATGACTGCATGAGGCATTGAGAGGACCTCTAGACCCAAACCCTACACTTCCCCAGCACACTATAAATAGGCAAAAATCACTAAAGCATTATATGGAGCATTACAACTATATTATAACACCAGAACTGTGTCTGGCTGTTTACTTAGCTTAAGATAAACCAGATACAACTTGGATAAAGTCACTTTTATCTTTATCAGTATATAATGCCTCTTCTGACTATTTTTGTAGGGATTCACTCAGTCTTGCTGTTGCTCATTTCTGTCAGTAAATGTACAATGGTTATTCAGCTTATAAAAGAAGGAAATCTGATGATTTGCAACAACGTAAATATAAACCTGGAGGACATTTTCTTTTTCTTTTTTTATGTGTGTGTGTGTGTGTGTGTGTGTGTGTGGCCAGCTCAGCCCACCAGGGGGCGGGGCTGGCTGGCATGTGGTGCTGGGGGATTGAACCGTGGTCCCTGTGCTTTGCTAAGCTTGTTCTAAGTAGGTGCATTAGACCACTGAGCCATCTCACCAGCCCCTGGAGAACATTTTCTAATAAGCTAAATACAGGAAGAGAAATGCTCCGTGATTGTACTAATCCTTGGAATCTAAAAAGTCAAATTCCTAGAGGTAGAGAGTTATTTTTAGTTGTGCTGTTACAGTGGTCTTGATGACCTGAATTGATTCAAAATACTTATTTTTAATTATCATTTTGACTTTGGAAAAGAGCCAGAAATTTCATAGTGCCAATTGTAGTGAACAAAGACACATTGTGATGTTTTTATTTATGAACCTGCCTTTCTGTTTGGAGGCACTAGAAATTTACCTTATTTTTGATTACACCTCATAAAAACATGGAAGAAGACTTCAGAGCTGCTTCACACCCAAAGTGGCAAGAACAATGGGATAAGTGGCCATGTGTGATGGCATGTGTCTGTAATTCCTGCCATTGGTGGGGGTGAGGCAGGAGATGAGTTCAGGGCCTGAACTACATAGCAAGACCTTATCTCAACCCCCTCAGAAATAGTGATGGGATAAGTATATTCAAACAAGGGGTAGTATTTTGAGGAGGTAATGGTAATATATCTTTTATTGTAATAAATGCTTAAAAATTAAACATTTCC